AATATCATATATATTAAAATAATTAAGAAAGTTGATAAGTTTATATTTGGAAGAAGAACTGTAAGTATGATCCTGTATATTAAAATTACCAAGGATAATAGGATGAAGGTGAAGTTGAGAAGCTTGTTGAATCTAGTTGATTACTGCATTTTGGGTTTGGTTGCAAATAGTTATATTAGTAGATGAGAGATATATTGAGATAATACAAAGTTTGACATTGCTTTGAAAGAAAATATCAAGTGCAATAGCTCCTCCTGAGTGAGTATAAACACTGTAAATATAATGTTTAAGATGATTATAAATCATAATTGCTGTTCTTTTTACAGAAGTAGGAGAGTTAGACTAGTAGTAAGTAAAAAAATTGTTGTAAAAAAAAAGATTAGTTTTGTCAGAAATTTTTGTTTTAGTAATACTGGCAATAGATATGTTATTATTAAAACAGTAATCTTACCAAACTTTTCTTTTTGTTAAATCATTAAAGTTTCTAACATTGTATATAGTAATAGTTAGGTTAAGATAGTGAGAACTTAAGTCAGAAGAATGTAAAGCAGAGTTATAGTCAATAGGAGTTGAGTAATAGTCATTAGAGAAAAAGTCAGATAAAATAGAAGTAGAGCTAAAGGAGTTAGATTTGAGAGAAAGGTTATAGAATAATAGAAGAAGGTGTGGAGCAATAATTATATGATCTAATAAAAAAGTGTTATTAGAGAGGTATATGTGAGTTTAATTGCAAGATGAATTAATAGAAAATGTAATACTAAATACAGTTTTGTTGTTATTATATTTGTCAATATGTTGAATTAAGGTTTGAATGATTTGACCATGAGGAAGAAGTAATAAAGAAGAAATTTGATAAAGCATATGTGAAGATCATAAAGGATTAAAGATGTTGTAAATGATCTTTTAAAATTGTCTTTTTAGGGTCAATCACTGTATGCTCAGTTCTTATAGCTGTACAAATACCATAGTCTGCCTTGTATGTTGGGTCTAACTATCATTAACTTGGCCTTCCACATAAATAGGCTTATTTACTTGCCTACTTATTTTATTTTTCTTATTAACTACTATGATTGTATCTTTTAATAAGGTGGTGGCTGCTTTCATGTTGGTTATAGAAGACAAAAAACTTAAAAAGGAGATTGTAAAAAAAAGGAGTCAAGGATTGAGACTGGCTAGAAGTCAAGATGGAATTTTTTTGCTAGAAACTTTTTAGTTGCTAGATAAGCTGTATTATTAAAGTATTTGACAATTTGTAGATAAGTAGACTTTTGGTTTTTTATAATATCATAATAAGTAATAATCTGAGCAAGAAATTTAGTATCAATAATGTTTTTTGTTAATAGATTAATAGCCTTCTTCTTAGAGAAAGATTGTATGTTGTGATTTTTTGCAGCAATTTGATAATAGAGAGAAAGATAGCAATAGAAATAATAGTTGCAATGTTTTGAATTTATTTTAACTTTGTTTTGTTTACAAACAAAGTTTTCAGCTTGATTAGCTAACTTGTCCAAGGCTTTGGTCAGAATAGGTTGGTTAAGTAAAGCAGCATATTCCTTGTTTTTATGAAAGAGTGTAGTATTAAGAGTTAGATAAATCTATATTTATCATCTTTGAGAGGAAATAATTAACAGAATTTGTTTAAAATATTGTTAAAAAGGTTGGCACTATCATGGAATTTTTTTCATCAAGATATTAACATAGTTTATTGTCACAAATAAAATAGTGAAAGTTAGCAACTCAGGATGCTTCTTTATATTGTTCATAAAGTGAATTGGGTTTTTGGAATGTATAGGTTTTAGGAAGGTGTTTTGAAATTTGAAAGATAAAGTATAATGATACAATTAACTTCCAATAATATAAATAGTTAGTAAAATTTATGAGTAGCTTACTAGTATATAAGATAGTTGTATAACATTATCATGCAAAACCAAAAATAAAAGACATAAAGAGTATTAGTATTGCATATAATAAATATTGTATATAGGTTGTTGTACTATTAGGCATATGTAGTAATATATTATATATACAATATACTATGTACTATTAGTTAGCATAATTGTGATATAATGCAGTAGCTAGAGATAGGAAAATTAAATCTACCACACAGCTTGCACAGCCTCAGGTTTCATGTTTATATATATAAAACATCTATTTTATATATGTAAAGTTGGACTTCTATTATTTTTAATTAGTATTTCAAGGTTAGTTTAAATAACAGTTTTTGTTGTTTTGTATTTTTTTACTTTTTCTTTGCATATCAGTGAATTGGTATTATTTGATAAATAGAAAAACTCATCCTTAATAATTCTGATCAAATTTGTAGATCATTTGGCCAGTTCTAGAACAAAAGATTTTTAAATGCAGTCAAATAATCTACAAATTAATCAAAATTATGAACAATCAATTCTATTAATTAGATAATACAAATCTGTTTTTCTTTTAGACCAATTTCTCAAATCTGGATTATAAAACTAACCAGAATTATGCAAGCTAACATAATTATGAAAATTGCACTATGCAGCCTTAAAAAATACCTATGCAGTGTCTTATCTCTAAAAGTGTCTTATTCTAAACTGTAGATATTGTATGCAAAATTTTTGCTGATCTTTTAGTATAGTATAATATAATTGTATAAATATATACAAATGTATGAAAATTAAGTAAAATATTGATAGTATGTATAGTTAATATAGATTTGTAAAATGAATTTTTACAAGTCTATTATTCATTTAGTATATGAATATAACAAATTATTAGATAAAACTAATAAGTATTATTAAATATAATTATTTATTTAATGCTTACTCATTACACCAATGATTCATTATATATTCATGCCAAATGAAAGAAGAAGCCTAATCCTTTACAAATAAATTATCTTTATATTTAAAGTTAAAATAAGTGTAAGAATTGTTCTTTTTTTGTATGAGGTTATAGGAAAATTGACTTTTTTGAAATAATTTTTTCTTTTACAAATCATACATACTGTCATAATTTCTACATGTTTACTCCAATTTGCATTTTTGTACTGTTTAATTTACTATATACTCTTATTTATACCAGCTAATCAAATCTCTAAATATGCACTATACAGACTATATGCAAAAAAAGTTATTATATAAATGGCATATTACTAGGCATGTAATGTAAGCTGGTACAAATTACCAAAAGAAAAATAAATTTTTAGCATCATATATGACATAGAGACATTTTACTTACTATAAAACAATGTACTCTATTCTTGATATAAGCAAAAACAAGACATAGCTTAACTTTGTTATATTTTATTAAATCCAATTTAAACAAGTTACTTTTTTTAATAAAAATAAGTAACAAAAAAGAAAAACCTGTAAATTATTTTACTCATTATTGAATTAATAAGTGAAATAATTTATAGGTTTTTCTTTTTCATTACTCAAATCATGTGATGTATATGAAGTCAAAACCTGTAAGATTAAGAATAAACAATTAGAAACAAAGCATGACTTTAAACCTAAAATGCATGTATATATACAAATAAGATAACTATATAAGTTTTTATAAGTTATATTAAGCTATTTGTACTATATTCATCATATATCAAGCAAAAAACTTGCATTCTTTTTAGTTTTATTTAGTGTACTATATAAAGTTACAAGGATTAATTATTCAATCAGGTCCAAGATTTCACATATTGATATCTGAATTATATATAAACTATGTAATAAAGTAATCTGTTATAACAGCAAGCACAACTCAAAATTATGTGAAAATGAAATAAGATAGACAATGAAAATAAAAGGCATAAAATAGTAAAAAGACAGCATAACAAATTTGATAATTCAGATAGGATTTTGTTTAAAACAAATAATAACCTAATAATCAAAAAGCCATAATAATAAATAGTAAAGTTCTGTGTTTAAATTAATAACTAAATAAGAAAATCTAAATACTTTAAAATATAAGTATGATATTGATACAAAAAATTTATATAATGCACAAATTTAGAAATTACAAAATAAGTCATAAGGATCAATTATCCAATCATATTCAAGATTTTATACATCCATATTTAAATCATTTATAAATTATACATTACATTGTACATTGTATAAACTTCATTTATAGTATATATTACATTGTACAGATTTTATGGTTGATCTTTAGTATAGGTGGGCAAATATAAAAAATCATAATACAATTTCTATACAGATCTCCTTTAGTAAAGGTAGGCAAATTCTGATTAGTTTCATGTGACAATAGTTAAATAAATTAAACTATTATAAAATTAAATAAACTAACTTAAACAATTATAAAATTAAATAAACTAACTTAAACTAATTAAAGTTAAATATTTAACTTATGCATGTGAATCAGCAATCACAGATTAGATAATTAGATGTTTATTTTTTTTTTTTGTCAAATTTGATTACTTTGTTGGAAGCGGGTAGCTTTGATTTTGGGTTTATTAATGCTCTTTTTTTCTTGCCTTCTTGGCTTCATAGAATTGGACTTTTGGTTTAGGTAGATATATTAACTTTGTTTGGTTTTCTTGCTTGTAAAATATGTTACTAATGCCTTTTCTTCTTTTCTGGTACTTCTTCTTGGCTTCTTTATTTGAAATTGGTCTTTCAGTTTTGGGTATATATATTTACTTTGTTGTTTGGTTTCTTGCTTGTGAAATATGTTACTAATGCCTTTTCTTCTTTTCTGGTACTTCTTCTTGGCTTCTTCATTTGGAATTGGACTTTCGGTTTTGGGTGGGTATATTAACTTTGTTTGGTTTTTTTGCTTGTGAAATATGTTACTAATGCCTTTTTTTTTTTCCCGATACTTCTTCTTGGCTTTTTCATTTGGAATTGGTCTTTCAGTTTTGGGTAGGTATATTTACTTTGTTGTTTGGTTTTCTTGTTTAAAAATACATTTACTAACACACATTCTTCTTTCCTAGTATTCCTCTCTTGGTCTCTTGGAATTGGTCTTTTGGTTTTGGGTTGGTATATTAACTTTGTTTGGCTTTCTTACTTGTGAAATATGTTACTAACATCTTTTTTTCTTTCCTGGTACTTCTTCTTGGCTTCTTTGTTTGGAATTGGTCTTTTGGTTTTAGGTGGGTATATTAACTTTGTTGTTTGGTTTTCTTGCTTGAAAATACGTTTACTAATACACATTCTTCTTTCCTGATATTTCACTTTTGGTCTCTTGAAATTGGACTTTTGGTTTTGGGTAGGTATATTAACTTTGTTTGGTTTTCTTGTTTGTGAAATATGTTACTAATGCCTTTTCTTCTTTCCTGATACTTCTTCTTGGCTACTTCATTTGGAATTAGTCTTTCAGTTTTGAGTGAATATATTTACTTTGTTGTTTGGTTTTCTTGCTTAAAAATATGTTTACTAACATATATTCTTCTTTCCCAGTGTTCCTCTCTTGGTCTCTTGGAATTAGTTTTTTGGTTTTGGGTAGGTATATTTACTTTGTTGTTTGGTTTCTTGCTTGTGAAATATGTACTAATGCCTTTTCTTCTTTCCTAGTACTTCTTCTTAGCTTCTTCATTTGGAATTGGTCTTTCGGTTTTGGGTGGGTATATTTACTTTGTTGTTTGGTTTTCTTGCTTGTGAAATATGTTTACTAATGCATATTCTTCTTTTCCAGTGTTCCTCTCTTAGTCTCTTGGAATTGGACTTTCGGTTTTGGGTAAGTATATTAACTTTGTTTAGTTTTCTTGCTTGTGAAATATATTACTAATGTCTTTTCTTCTTTTCTGGTACTTCATTTTGGCTTTTTCATTTGGAATTGGCTTTTAGTTTTGGTTGGGTATATTTACTTTATTGTTTGGTTTTCTTGCTTGTGAAATATGTTACTAATACCTTTTCTTATTTCCTGATACTTCTTCTTGGCTTCTTCATTTGGAATTGGTCTTTCGTTTTTGGGTAGGTATATTTACTTTGTTGTTTAGTTTTCTTGCTTGAAAAAACATTTACTAATACATATTCTTCTTTCCCAGTGTTCCTTTCTTGGTCTCTTGGAATTGGTCTTTCAGTTTTGGGTAGATATATTTACTTTGTTGTTTGGTTTTCTTGCTTGATTTAACAACCTACTACATGAACTTAGTCATCACTGAACTTGATCATCTGCTTTAACATCATTCTTATTTAGACAATTGTTTTATTATTACCCTTAACAGTATCACCAGTCATTACATTACATTAACTTAATACTATTGATATCAACATCTTACTATATAGTGTTATTTGGCTTAGCTAGTCCTCTAAAAGCTATAAAAGATACTCTATTTACTAAAAGTTTATTATTATTTTCTGTACATCATTAGAGTTAAATTAGCCTATTTTCTATATTGTTTATTACAATAAAAAAAAAAACAAATTTCAAACATGTCTATCATTATTCTACTGCCTACTTTAAAATTTCTTCAAAAGATTTTTTTCAACAAAGATGAATATATTGATTATGTCTTTAATAAAGACATATTATACAAACTACAATTTTGTTTTTCTTGCAATTCTAAACTTTATTGTAAAAAAAAACTTCATCAATATATTAATTGTAACTATCATAAATCTTTTTTTATATATTAAAAGATTCATTTTTCTTAAGAAACCATTTAAAATGTTCAGATATCATATTAATTGGTTATCTTTGATTGAATAAAGTTACATACACAAGTATATTAAGTATGACAGGTTATTCATTGGCAACCATTACCAATTATATGAATTTGTTTAGGAAAATAGTTTTTAGCATCCTGGAAGATGACAATAACATGATTGGTGAACTCAGTATAATTGTCAAAATCGATAAGACTAAAATAGGTAAGAGTTTTTTTCATTATATATAACAACTGTATAAAAAATCTATGGTCATGTGATTTTAAACCAATCACAACACAGGATCAGATATAATGTGAAAACAAAACAAACTGCCAGCTTTTTTCAAAAAATCATCTGTAACTCAAAATTTTGATTACAAACTCACTTTTTGCATCTTAGTGATGCTGCAAAAGTTACATTTTTGATAGATCTGCAAAAAAAAATTCCTTCCAAAATTTTGCTATATGCAAGTTCTTTTCTACTATCACCCTAGTGCTCACTCTTACCCTAATGTCAAAAGTTAATTTTAATTGAAAAATGTGTTGATGATCTGTGGTTTATTTTAGCCAATAAAATTTTAGCATATATCATCACATATTCATGAATTTTCAAATTAAATTATCAAATGATTAGTTTATTTTCTCAGTTGTAACTAATCGATTAATCATTAAGCTGCAACTAATCAATTAGTTTTTATTTAAAAGTTCAATTAGTTGTTTGCTTATTAACTAATCAATTTTTTAACTGTCGATTTGTAACACTAGATAAAAGAAAGTATCATCGAAGTCACTGAGTTGATGAGGTATGGGTTATTAGTGGAGTCAAATGAATGAAGGAAAAAAGGTGTTTTGTTGAAGTAGTTGCTGATAGGACTGCTGATACATTACTTGAAGTTATATTCTGGCATGTTTTGGAAGGTTCTATCATGTATATAGACATGTGGTGAGGATATAACAGGCTTGAAGGTTTAAGTATAACCTATGATGTGGTAAATCATTCTGTAAACTTCATAGACTCTGTAACTGGAGTTTATACTAATACTATTGAGAGGTTGTAGAATTGTTTGAAGTTGAGAATCCTACCTTGTAATAGAACGAAGGATGATATCACCAACCACCTTCATGAATTTATTTGGAGGAAAAAAAATAAAAATAATGTATGGGTGGTTTTATTAATGATTTAAAAACGCGACACAAATCATTAACTCTTTCCAACGATCACTTGTACCAAACTCTGCTGCAAACATTTGATTATTATTCAATATTTTATT